TCACCTGTTCATCATACATTTGGATCTTACTCTCATACTTGGCCTTCTCGTCAGTATAGTTTTCTACAGATTTGTTATATTTCTCTTTTAAGGTCTTGATTTCGGCTTTCAAATCGATCACCTCAGTTACTGCCACCCTGTATTTGCATTCAAGGATCTCTAAGCCATTGATGTCCACCTCATAGTCATGGGCCTCCTCCCCAGAGTCCCGGCCTTTCTCCCCGTCCAGCTCAGCCTTGAGCTCCTTACTATTCTGCAGGCCCCTCATGGCGTTGACGTGCTCCGTGAGCCGGTGCACCCGCTCATGCTGCTCCGTCAGTGCCCCCTTGGTGTGTTCCAGCTGTGTCTGTGACTCCTGAAGATTAGCCAGAAGAATGGCCTTTTCCCTCTCTACCTGCAATGGCAAAAGAAAGTCTCTGAATGCCTTCCATGCAGTGCCAACAATAAGCTTAATCCACTCACAGTCTAGCATGTATACATTTAAAGTAACTGCAGCAGAGCTGATATTCTCATTATTTCAAACTAAACTGTTTTCTTATTGCAGAAACTCTGGTAAGTCAACCTAAAAGTACATAACTCTGAAGAATTACGCTGCAAGTAGTTACCCATCCAAACTCTCTTGCATTATGTACATACACTCATGAAACTTGAATGTTATTCTGTCTTATTTATATCTTCTAACACAGAAAACATGACTTCAAGAGCTAAGCATAGTACTTGCCTTTGTCTTTATTTTGAGAGCCTTTCAGTACATCTGCTTCTTAGGCCATGTGGGATAAATGACCATCTCAGGGTGCCTACAAATCATCTTTTCCTTCCCAGAGCTCAACCCAAAATAAGGTTTAAAACCTAAGGCTTTAACTTACTAAAAATGCTAAGTACCTTAACTATCCCCTTAAAAATAAGCATTTAGTCTCAAAATAAACATGCATTAAATTTGATAGTTTTTAATACAAAAGTCAGAGAACACAGAGTTTCACAGCTAAAAGAACAATTTACAAATCATTCCAATTCCTTCAATCCAACACAGGAATTTTTAAAATCAGTAATTAATTTGAATAATGAGACCATTTTATTATTGTACAGGTGGTAAGTACTATTGTGTAATGAAAAATACTCAGGTGTCCATATAAAATAAGAAATTGTAATCTGAGAAAGTTTAAAAGCATTTTCTCTCCCTCCATATGGGTAATGACTATTGTGAATAAGAAGTTTTTACATTTCTATAATGTAAATGTTTTTCAATAAGCAAATAACATTGTTTTTATTTTTAAAGCATTATATAAGAGATATCATGCTGTGCAAATCCTCCACACTTGCTTTTTCTTTTCTTCCTTCTTGTTTTTTTTAAATAAACCATGCATTAAATCCTCCTTGATCATACATCAAATCCTCCAAACTCTTAATTCCTAGAAAGCAAGTAAAATTATTATAACTACAATGTAATAAGTATTAATTAGAATATAATTCATATTTTTAGACTGGCATAATACTTCATGATACAGATATATGTAAATTTATAATGTAGTAGAAGCAGTATTTTTTTTTTTTTCCTTTTTGTCTTTTTTCGTGTCCGGCAACGGATTGCAACCCTCAGTGTCGCGCCCGTACCGGACCGGGACCGGCAACGGGATCGCAACCCTCGGTGTTGCGCCTGTACCCCAACCAGCCAGTGAGCGGGAACCAGTCTGTATGTGGGATCCGAACCCTCGGTGGGAGTGCCGCCGCGATCCCAAGCGGCGCACTGTAGCAGTGCACCACCGGGCCGGCCCGTAGAAGCAGTATTTTAATGCTCCCTTATGGAACTTGATGTTTGTCATATAACTATCATGTACAGTCAATCCTCACTTGGCAAGATTCTAATATGCATGTTATAGTTACCATGCTTTAGTTAAATACCAATCTCCTCAAAACATGGTTCAAATTTCAATTACCATATATGCTAACTGTTGAGCAATGCTTAAAGTACAAACATTGCTGCTAGCTTGTTAGTCTGTAAAATAACAACATAATAACATCATGACCAATGACCAATCACATCACTTCATTCAATCTGTCAGTGACTGGTCACTGTGGAACTGTTATTCAGTTCATTCACAGAAAGCGAAGTGTGGAGTTGTGTTATCTTCCTGTCTCCCAGTGATAAACCCATGTTAAAAGTGTAGCAAAGAAATAAGTGACAATGTTGGAAGTAAAATTTGAATGAAACTTAAGTGGAGTTACAAGGGAAATAGCTGAAATGAGAACGATGTCACAGCTACTGTTTGAGGGACTTTAGATATGAGCCAAAGGAACTTAATGAAGGCACATTTATCAACGTAAATAAAAAAGTAGTTGTTACAAAAAAGATGAAAATGTCCCAGAGGAAGTGACACTGGCACATTAAAGATACCCTCAGAGATATTTCCAGATATTGAGACTGCAAAGGACAAAATGTTGAAAGCTGATCCAAACTTAGAAAGGGGGCTGGCCGGTTAGCTCAGTTGATTAGAGCATGGTGCTGATAACACCAAGGTCCAGGGTTTGATCCCTGTACCGGTCAGCTGCAGGAAAAAAGAGGGGAAAAAAAACTTTAGAAATGAGTATGACTATTTGCCATTTGATCCCTGTACTGGTCAGCTGCAGGAAAAAAGAGGGGAAAAAAAACTTTAGAAATGAGTATGACTATTTGCCATGGTATAGAAAAGACTTGTTCAATATCATTAGTTATATGATGAGAAGTTGGCAAGATCAAAAATACTCTTAAGTTTTTTACAAAGAAATGAAACTCTCAGTGTTTCCAATATTTTAGATTACAGTGTACTAAGTAGTTTTACTACTTTTTTCATTTCTCCATACATTTATAACCAATACAAGAGTTTTTAATGCTTTGACAAAAATTTTTTTTTTAAATCATAGAACTGTAATTTTCTCTCCATTAATTATTAAGTTTGTTTTGCATGGTTTCAGGTTGCATGATTGTTTTTACTGTCCTGCATTACTATGGCCTGCCTGTAGAGTATGATCATGTATGTTAGAACTTAAAATATAGTTTTGTTATTTTAAATTATTATTTAGAGGTTTTTAACTTGTAGCTTTGATTTTATGACATAGTCCTTGCCCATATCTATGACAGAAACAATCCATAAATTACATACTATGGCTGCAGAAACCAAAATATTCTCAGAGAATAGTATCTTAGGTAAAGAATGGGACTGATGCAACAGAGAGCTCTGGAGTCAAATCTTGACGCCAACATTTGCTTAACTATTTGACTCTGGGTAAGCTTCAGTTCAGTAATCTATAAAAGGAGCATAATAATGCCTGCCTCATAGGGACATTCTGATGATTAAGTGAGATAGCGAATTTAATGCTCAAGGTATTATAATGTTAGCTATTGTTAACACTTGGTTAGCTGTGATCCAATTCCTATGACCAAAATGTTTTTACGTGTCAAACACATCTGTTTTCATAAATCTGTATCTGAATGTCTAAAAGCAACTCTTTTACTTCAGAGTGAGAATGTATTTGAATACAAATCCTTTTAGCTGGATTTCATTAGATATAACAGATTGTATCTCCATAGCTGAAAGATGAATTTATTTACCCAGATTATTGGGCAATAATTTTTAATGAAAAACCCAGGTAATTCTGTAATATGGTATCTGACAAATAGCCAAGTCATTTGAATTTTTTAAAAAGAAGATGGAAAGTCTTCTAAATATTGTATTATTAGCATGATATATAATCTCAGTGAAAATGGATTATTTCAAAAGTGTTTTTTGTTTTGTTTTCCTTTTTCCCATGAAAATTAAATGAGTTTCCTCTGAAAAGTCTAAACATTGTATGACTAATATATATGATTAAAGATAAAACTGTTTCCAAAAAGCCTCTCAATAGGAAAAGCCTTTGAATAAAAGAAAAACTGGATCAAAACACAATGTAGTGTCTCAAGCTTGTTTTAGAGGCAAAAATGTTATGATGAAAGGTAATGCTTTTAGAACAGTATTCAATCTGTACTCTGCCGGTTCATATTTAACATAAACATTTTCTAAGCCTAAAGGATAAGTCTACCAGTTTCTTCATGATAACATCTCCAGTAATACATCAAATAGGACATTTGTTTTTCGTGTGTGAATGTTCCATATATAATACTGTTTCCACATTCCATATATTTCTTTCTTTTTCTTTTTTTTTTTTTTTGTCCTTTTTGAGACCGGCCGCACCGCGCTCAGCCAGTGAGCGCACCGGCCATCCCTATATAGGATCCAAACCCGCGGCAGGAGCACTACTGCGCTCCCAGCGCCGCACTCTCCCGAGTGCGCCACGGGCTCAGCCCGCTATTGTGAATAATGCTGCAATGAACATGGGAGTGTAGATATCTCTTTGACATACTGATTTCAATTTCTTCTGATAAGGGATTTATATCCAGAATATAAAGAACTCGTACAACTCAGTAATAAAGAGACAAATAACCCAATCAAAAAATGGGCAAAGAACCTGAATAAATTTTTTTAAAGAAGATAAACAAATGCTCAATAAGCACATGAAAAAATGCTCAACATTATTAGCCATGAAGGGAATGCAAATTGAAACCATAATGAAATACCACTTCACACCCACTAGGATGGCTATAATCAAAAAATGCAGATAATAACAAGTGTTGGTGAGAATGTGGGGAAATCGGAACCCTCATACACTGCTGGTGGGGATATAAAATGGTGTGCCCACTTTGGAAAAGTCTGGCAGTTCCTCAGAAAGTGAGGCAGAGTAACCATATAACCCACCAATTCCACTCCTAGAATTCCACCCAAGAGGATTAAAACATATGTGCACACAAAAACTCACACATGAATGTTCACAGCAGCATTATTCATAATAGCTAAAAAGTAGAAATAACTCAAATATCCACCAACTAATTAATGGAAAAATAAAACGTAGTATATCTATATAATAAAATATTGTTTAGCAACAAAAAGGAATGAAGTGCTAACATACATTACAACGTGGATGAACCTTAAAAATATTATGCTAAGTGACAGAAGCCAGTCACAAATGACCACATATGAGATACTTCAAAAAGTTCATGAAAAAATAGAATTAAAAGATAATATGAATTTTTCCACGAACTTTTTGAAATATCCTTGTATGATTCCATTTATATGAAATGTCTGCAATGGTTGCCTAGGGCTAGAGGATTCCAGGAAAGTGGGAAATGGCTGCCAGATGGGTATGTGGTTTCCTTCTGGTGTGCAAAAATGTTCCAAAACTGACTGTGGTGATGGTTGTCCAACTCTGTGACTATATCAAAAACCGTGAATTGTATGGCATGTGAATTATAACTCTATAAAGCTGTTCTTAAAAAATAAAATAAACAAAGAAAACAACAACCAAAAAGCTACTTAGGCTCTTCCC